TCCCCTGGCACGAGCCTATCCCCAGGCCTCTGCCCCCAGCAGATCCCACCAGGGGCCATGCCCCCACAGCAGCTTATGCCGGGGCCAGGGGCTGCCTACCCAGCCTCTTTCAGGAAAACCCACCGAATCACATCTGTTCCTCACCAACCTCCAGGTGACCAACGAGCTCACGCTGTCCATGCTTTTCAACTCCTTCCCTGGCTTCAAGGGGGTCTGACTGGTCCCAGGGCTGCCCAGCATGGCCTTCATGGGGTTTGACAATTAAGTGCAGGCAGGGACTGTGGGGACTCCCTACAGGGCTTCAAGATCTCCCAAAACAACCCCATGGGATCTCCTTTGCCAGGAAGTAGTGCTTTCCCCTCCGCCTGCCCCCATCACATTGTGGGACTCCCCTTTTCCCCTTGGCTCAGCCCCCTGAAAGTAAATTCCCCTCAGAGGAGGAGCTCCTTGGAGCCACATGTGAGTGATCACACAGCGCTGTACTTAAACTGTCCCGATATTGCACCTGGAGCTGTTAGGCTGGAATTAAAGTTTGGTTTTGGGGTTTGTTTGTTTTTTTATGTTTGGGAAAAAAAATGAGGAAAACAGAAAACAATAGATCTAACTAGTCAAAATTCCATAAAAAAAACCCCTCAAACCACTAGTTCATTTGATTCAGGAAAAGGAAAGGCAAATATACAAAAAAATAGATGTTGACCACTGGATCAGTAAACATTTTTAAAATCATGAGATGATTTTGCTGACTTCTATGCTAAATGAATTGGATAATTTCCTAAGAAAATACAAATTAACATCACTGATGCCATTCAAGTTAGAAAGCTTAAAACAGAGCAATGTCCATAAAAAAAATAGAAGTTCCTAAGGAAATATCCCATTAAAAAACCACTTGACCCAGGTGGTTTCACAGGAAGTTCTATCAAACCTTTCAAAACCAGAGTACTAATGCTATATAAATTATTCCACGGTATTGAAAAATGAAATAAAAAAAATACTAATTCCTCTTATGAAGCAAGTATAACAACACCTAAACCAGATAAAGACAGCACAAAGAAAACTACTGGCCAATTATCACTCATGAATACCAATGCAAAGTTCTAAACAAATTACTAGCAGATTCTAAAACCACATTAATAATACACCATGACCGAGTGAAATTCATTTGGAATGCACGACTTTTTTTTTTTTATTGTTGACACTATTACAGATGTCCCCAGGCCAGCCCCCCTTTGCCCCCCTCCACCCAGCCCCTGCCCACCGGGGCCCTCTCCACACCGTTGTCTGTGCCCACTGCTATGCGTATATGCCTGTGTTCTTTGGCTAATCTCTTAAGTCATATCTTATTTTAACAAATCAGAGAAAAAGAATCATGATCTTTACAGATGCTCAGAAAAACTGACAAAATTCAAAACCCATTCATGGTGAAACTTTCAAGAATATAAAATACCTTCTCAATAAAATAAAATATACATTTACCTTAGTTCTAAAAGAAATTATCTTAATTAATAGCAAAACAATAAGGGCCTTAACCCTAGACCAAGGCCAGAATGCCCACTATCACTGCTACTATTTATTACTGTACTAGCCAATGCATTTAGACAAGCAAAAATAATTACAGGCTTAAGAATTGGTAAACAAGTAAAGCTATCTGAAATTTGCAGATGATACAATAGTATGCCTGGCAAATCTCAGAGAAGCAGTATTAAAACTTAAAATGTAAAAGAATTCAGTGAAATAACAAGTTAATAAAATTAAGATACAAAGTTAGTAGTTTCCTTATACAGGAAGTGTGAAGAAATGTCATAATAGTAAGGAAAATCTCATTTACAATAAAAATATTAAATACTTTGGGAAACAACAAAAACTTGTTATAAGGAAAACTCATATAAGAAAAATTTTTGAACATTCCTAACACCAAAGTAGACAAACAAATGGAAAGACATTCCCTGTTCTTGGATAAGATAACTTAACATTACAGAGATGTTAGTTCTCCCAACATGAACTTATAAATTCAAGGCAATGACAATGAAAATACCAATAAGCTAATTTTATGGAGCTGGACAAGGTAATAGGAAAGTACATATATTAAAAAAAAAAAAAAAAAAAAAAGGAAGAACACCTAGGGACACACTGAAAAAGAAAAACCATGAGGGGAAACCAGTCCATACAGACATTAATAATTATTATAAAGCCTCTTATAATTTAAACATTGTGACAAAAGAATAAAGTTCAGAATTAGGCTAAAGACATATAAACTCAGTATATAACAAATGTAATCCCTGGATCTCAAATCCCTGGAGTAAAGATGTACTTCTTAAATAAATTATCTGGAACGAAGTGGAAAAAATAAAACTCAATCTTACCTCACACAGTACACAAAAAGTCAGTAATTCTAGGTGGATTGTAAATATAATTGTATATATAAAAACAATAAAACTTGTAGAAGAAAATGTAGAGTATCTTCTTGTCATCAAGGTAGGCAAATATTTCTACTCAGGAAGAGAAGAGCACTTGTCCATAAAGATTAAATGACATTCAAATTAAAAACTCATTTCATAAAAAAATACCAACTAAGACACTGAGGAGACAAGCCATAGAGTGGGAGAAAATATTTGCAAAACATATCCAACCATAGGGCTCACATCTGGAATACATAAATCAGTTTAAAAAAAAAAGGGCAGGCAACCTCAGTGTCTTATCCAAGTCAATAGAACAGCTGCTTGGAAAGCAAATTTGCATCCCACTTTGGAAAACTGGCGCTTTAGAAAAATGAACATATGCATCCCCTGTGACCCAGCAATTTCAGCACTGAGTATACACCCAAAAGAAATACATACACTTGTAAACTATCAGAAATATTAAAATATGCTCACAGTAATAGTCACAATAGACCTAAACTGAAAAGTCAGGTACCCATCCATCACCACCAACTGTTTAAACAAACTGTAGATTACTCAAAACAATGGGAACACAACGAAATGTACTCGCTGGAGATACTCAAAACAATATGCATCCATTTCACAAAAGCATTAGGGAAAATAAAGACGCCCCAAAAAACTACATATTGTATGGTTCCATTTGTATATGGGTAAGAAACAAAAAATCCAAGCCATGTTGGATTTTTCATCTACAGAGAGTAGGAAAGAGTTTGTCATTTGAATGAGCAAGAAGGGGAATCAGGAATGCTTTCCTGATTCCATGATGTGTTCGTGTGATAATTTACCTTACATGTGATTTAAGCACTTTTCTGCATTTCCGTAAAGTCTGTTTTAAATATTACCACACACACACAAAGTTATCAACACAGTGGAAACAACTTAGGCATTACACTAATCAACAGAACATGCACAGACCTTATAACCCAGCAATTCCACACTCCAGAATAACTCACCAGTACTCCAGAAGACATGTACAAAATTTCTTAAAGCAGCGTTGCTGATAACTAGGAAAATGGAAACAGTCCAGTAACTAACTGCCCATCAGCAGTAGAAAAGGTAAGTTGTGGGATAATTATCTAAAAGTGAAAATGAAACACCTAGTCGTTACTGACTCTCAAACCACCGCTGCTACGAACCTGACCACCGTGACATGTAACTTGAATTCTGCAGTGGCCTAACAGGTGTGTTTGTGCCTTTTCTCTCTATATAGCCTAACCACCGCAAGCCACTGTGATCCTTTAAATTCCTAAATTGGATAGTTGTCGCCGCTGTTCAAAACCTTCCGCATTGAGAATGAAAGGCAAAGTCCTTCCACTTAAGCCCCAGGATGCCCCCATGATCAGGATCCTGATCTAGCTCTGACCTCCCCATCTTCTGCAACTCGCAAGCTTGATCCACTCGTCACACTGGCCCCTTGTCCCAAGCACTAACCTTTTCCACGGACTTTAGCTCTTCCCATTACAATAGAGCCCACACTTACAGGTCATTTACATCTCTGCTCAAATGTCCCTTTTAACAAAAGGCTTTCCCTAACCACCCCACAGCTCCACTGACGCCCACATCCCTCCTCATCATGACCATGCTTAATTTTTCCTCCACTGCCCTGACCACCGTCAGATACGTATTTACTCACTTATCAGGTGCCTCAACCCTAAGTAGAATGTAAGCAACGTGAAGGCATAGATCCTGATTCACTCTATAGACCTGGAGCATAGAACAAGGCCTGACATAAAAGATGGATCTGGAACCAGATACTAGGGTTCAGATAGAAGCACCATCACCTGCTAACATGTTGGGCTCAGACAAGTCACCCAGGCTTTCTAGCCTGATTCTCCATATGCAAAAGTAACTGATGGCACCTGCTCTGCAGTTTTTTGTTTTTTTTTTTTGTAATTATATCAGTAGTGGAACGATCCACCCTTTTTAATTGCAAAAGGTGAACAGAAAGCTACTATATTTCTCTAGGACATTTACAAAAAGTTTTCTTCACCTTAAGAAGAAACCAAGTAAAACTAGATGTCCACTCAGCATTTTATGAAAACTAATACTTTTATGAAAACTTTGATCTAAGTAGATCAAAGATATGAAATGCAAGTTTTAAACTTGGCTTTAAATTTAAAAAATTTTATATCCAAGAATTAAAAGCATAAGCAGATGATACCCACACATGTAGCAGTTATAAAAACTCAATAATGCGCTAACTGGTGTGGCTCACTTGGTTGGGTGTTGTACTGCAAATCAAAAGGTCATGGGTTCAGTTCCCGGTAAGGGCACATTCCTGGGTTGCAGGATCAGTTCCTGGTTGGGGCATGTGCGAGACAACAGATAGATGTTTCCTTCTCACATCAGTGTTTCTCTCCATCTCCTTCTCCCTCCCTTCCCATGTCTCTAAAAATAAATAAATAAAATCTTAAAAAAAAAAAAAAAAACCAACTTCACCAATGACCAGCTGAATGGTTTAGACAGCATCCAGCTGGATGATATAGACCCCTCCCTCCATCCAGAAAAAAAAAAAAAGACATCCAAAGCAGCTTAAACCACTTATCAGTTTTATTTTTTTCCACGTTAAATAGGAACTCTGGAAATAACAAATCCAGGGCTAGCACGGACACTCAAAGAAGCCACAGGGGAAGCCAGAATCATCTGTGAATTTGCTGCAGGATCCTCTCTAACCTGTGTTTTGCATCCTCACTGGTCACAAAATATACCTTTTAACACTAGTTACTAGATCTTGCAGTGAGAAATGGGGGGGGAAAGAAAATGAAACAAAACATGTGGAGAAGAATCCAGGTAGGAATGGCCTCTTTTTCAAGAGTATTTTCAGAGCCTATATAGTAACATCTGCTTATCTGTTAGTGGCCAGGTTGTGGAATGTGGACTGTACTAGATGTAAGAAAACCTAAGAGATTTTTAAAATAGCACACCTTACTAATCTGACAAAAATTGGGTTTTCTTGATATAGAAGATGAGATACTGGGGAAGCAACTAGAAGTATATGCCACCATTGGTTGGAACATCCCAAAGGACACGTGATAAAGAAATCATGCTTTGATCACAATGCATTTGATTTAGAAAACTGTAACAAGGTATTTTACTAAAATACCCACATTGCACAGTACGTAAGATTCTACAGAGTCTACTGGTCAAGTCACCCAAAAGAAAAATAACACATTAAAACTAGTAAATAGAAAAGAATGAAACATCCAAAGAATGTCTCACTTTAAGAATGTCTTAAAGACATTATTAAGAATGAAATTATAATAAAAATACTACATACAAACCTTTTGTGGTATGTATAAAGGGAAATTTAGCGCATGATCTTAAAAACAAAACACTAAAAACTTATAAGCTATGGTCTGTGTTCATGATGAAAGACAAATGCAATTTCCTATTAAATAGAAAATTCCATTGGGAGGTGAATGAATTCTCATAAGCACAAGTGGGGGGCTGTGGCTGAAATCACCTCCATGTAGGGATATTTTTGAAATAGACACTCTACTGTAAATGCTCAAGTTTCCTAAAAGTTGAGGGCCTGATGTACGCCAAGGTTTCTCTACCTTGGCAATATCAACATTTTGGGGCACATAAGTCTTTGTTCTGGGAGGCTCCTTCCTCTGCACTGTAGGATATTTAGTGGCATCCTTGATGTCTTCCAACTACATCGGTTAACTCCTCCCCCAGTTTTAATTACCAAAATTGTCTCCAGAAATTGCCAAATGTCTCCTGGGGCGCAAAGCTACCCCCAGTTGAGAACCACTGCTGTGCAATAGAGGTTGGCAGATTTTTTCTGTAAAGGGCTATACAGCAAGTATTTTAGACTTTGTGGGCCACATACAGTCTGTCACCTATTTTCCTTCCTTAAAAATGTAAACTATTCTTGAGAACTATATATTAACAAGACAACTGGCTGTAGCTTGCGGACCCGTTACTGAATTCCCCATGTTTCTTATTTTATAGATACTTCTCCTTTGTGTTATTTCTCTCATGAGGAATACACTGAGACCAGGAATTGTTTGCCCAGTTGATGAATTTACAGATTCTCCCTTGTGTGCTTACTAGTGTGCCCAGAAGGTGCCAGGTGATACTACAGTCATTTTAACATTAAATACCAGGCTATGATTTCTCTCTTTAAGTTGTCATGTTTGTTAAGAGTTAAATGTACACTGACAGCTTCTCCACACCAAAGATACACATTTTCTCCCTCAGTGTAAATTCTCACAGATCTCCAAAGTTATGAGAAAATAACTCGGATCTTCCCACAGTCATTACACAAACTATATTACTTCCAAATTTCACGCATTCCTTTATGTCCAGTAAGATGACTTCAGAAAGGCTTTCCTGCCTTCCTCACACTTATGGGGTTTCCTTTCAGTCTGAGCTCCCAGTTTCTTAAAGGTGTGTCATTGGAGCCTTTTCCACACCGATGACACTAAGAGCTTCTCTCCCCGGTGAGTTTTCACATGACTCCGAAGAGATGAATGGTCACTGAAGGCCTTCCCACAGGCCAAGCACTCATACGGCTTCTCTCCAGTGTGTATTCTCCTGTGGACATTAAGGTTTGAGCCTATGCTGAAGGCCTTCCCGCAGTGATCACACTCGTACGGCTTCTCTCCTGTGTGACTTCTCATGTGTGTTTTAAGAGTTGACTGGTTTCTGAAGGCTTTCCCACACTGTCTACATTCAACACGTTTCTTTACGAGATGAATGCTCATGTGCCTCCTCCGGGATAAATAGTCACTGAAGACTTTCCCACAGGCAGCACATTCATAGCGTCTCTCTTGGGTGTGTATTTTCCTGTGTGCGGTCAGGTTTGAGCTCGCGCTGAAGGCTTTCCCACATAGGTCGCACCCGTACGGTTTCTCTCCAGTGTGAGAATTCATGTGTGTCTTAAGGATGGACTGGTTTCTGAACGTTTTTCCACACTGCCTACATTCCACGGGTTTCTTTACGATATGAATTCGCATGTGTTTTCTCCGTGATAAGAGATCACCAAAGGATTTTCCGCATTCTTTACACTCATATGTCTTCTCTACCATGTGGTTTTTCTTGTGCAAATTAAAATTAGACTTCCATCGAAAGGCTTTTCCACACAGGGTGCATTCATAGGGTTTCTCCCCAGTGTGATTCCTGACGTGCTCTTTGAGATGTGAGGGATGCTGGAAAGCTTTCCCACAGTCTTGACATTCATAGGGCCTCTCTCCAGTGTGGGTCCTTTTGTGTGCAATGAGGTGGCAGCTCCTGCCATACGCCTTCCCACACTCATCACACTTGTAAGGTCTCTCCCCAGTGTGAACTCTCATGTGTATCTTCAGGGAGGAGAGGGTTCGAAATGCATTTCCACACTGACTGCAGTCAAAGGGCTTCTCTGTGAGGTGAGTTCTCGCGTGACTCCTAAGGGCTGAGGGGTCATTGAAAGCCTTCCCGCAGGCACTGCATTCGTAGGGTTTCTCCCCAGTGTGAATTCTCCTGTGCCGTGTCAGGGAAGCACTGGTGGTGAAGGCTTTTTGGCACTGATGACATTCGTGCATCTTCCTCCCATTGAAAATGCTTACATGTTGAGTTAGATGAGACCTATTCTTGAAAACGACCCCACAGTCCCGGCGGTGATAGGGCCTCTTGCTGGTGTGCCTTCCCACTTGCTGAGTAAGATGAGCACCCATGCCGAACACGTCAAACAGGTGGGCATATTCAGTGGATTTCTCTCCAAGGTGAGTTCCTTCCTGTTAATTGAAAGATAAGTGCTGACTAAGGCATTTCCAATATTCTTTACAGTCCTAAGAATTATCCCCACATAAAATGACATAAATTGAAGCACATCATTATGTCTAAAGATGTCATAATTTACAGTGAAAAAGTATTGCTCCTGCCCCATTTGGCCTCTATCAAATAAACAGAACATGTGAATGTTATGTATGCCCTAAGGTTCCATGTCTGTAACTGTTACAAAGCTTTTTACATAGACTTTGCTGTTTAAATTTGAACTGAGCCCCAACATGAAATATCTGAAATAGTTATAGGGGTATTTACTTATCAGAACTCTAAGTGGAAAAATTTGGGGTTAATAACTGGTAATATTCAGTATCTCTGACACTTGCTCCGGGGAATGCCACTGGCCTACTCCTTAAGCTCCTTTTCTACCTTACGCTGCCCCAATCATATCCTGATATGAAAGATCCAAAATCATGCCAAGGAAATCTTACCATTGTCACACCGCTGGATGTTTCCTTCCCAAAAAAAATATCTTGCATGAGGAGGGACCATTTGGTTTTAGATGAAATCTCCCAATCTGAAACAAATTGGAAGATAAACTTGCTGGTGTTTCTTTTTAAAAAAAAAGAAAAAAGGTGGTAATCAGGTGACAAAAATAGGTGAATTTTTTTCTGCAAATAATCTTAAAGAAGAAAAGGTAATGTGAAAAGAGAACGTACACGAGTCAAAATGACTGAAAAATTTGGCTGTGAGAGGCACCTGGCCATGATAGGGGTAGACATTCGTGTCAGCACACTAAGGAATGCTTCAAAGGCGGATATTAATAATAGAAAGACTGCGATCGGGAATGCTGACTACGAAAGGATGGAAGAAAGAGTCCACGTGGACATGTCGAATTCAAAGGTGCGATGACAGTGATACTGAAGCATCTGTGAGAAAATGGAGGGGCAGTGAAAGACAACGAGCATTTTCAAATGTCCCTGGGTGACCTTTCCTAGCGGACCCCCCTCCACCTCAGTCACTGGATAGTCAATACTCAGATGCACTTGTGTTTGCCTGGTGCTTACCGGGACATGTGCCTTGGGGAAGTCCCCTCTCCTCTGTTCTCAGCTCCTCTTCTTGCTCCAAGTGGGAGATGAGGCTGGGCTTCCCCACCTGACACCCTACCCACGGGGAAAGACACATGTTGAGGGAGGATCGTGCAGAGGACACGTGTCCTGAAGTCAGAGTTCTGAAGATGGACAAGACTGACTTAGGAGCAGCAAAATGATAGTGACAAATTTCTAAGGGACATAGGGAAAGGCTTTCATAAAAAACAAAACCACAAATACCCACACATTTTGCCTTTCAAAAGGTTTTTTAACTCAGAGATTGAGAATTTCTTAGTTCAGAAACCTATGCACATGTGTACCTGAAACCTGTGTAATTCTGTTAACCAGTGTCACCCCAATAAATTCAACAAAAAGGAAAAAAGAAAGAAACCTACACCCAGGCTCAGACACACTTGACAACCTCCATGGGCCAATGCAACAGACTGGTCTCAATATCCATGGGGAGATGCCAGAAGGGCAGGCACCAGGTCACAACTGTGTTCCAAATCCCCGCCCAGCTCCTAGATCACAACAAGTACTTAAAAACACTTGATTAATAGATGAAGAAATGGTGTGGGTCTTACCGACTGAGGCAAGGTTGCTATAGTTCTCCAGCATTACATCTTTGTACAATTTTCTCTGAGAAGAATCCAACAAGGGCCACTCCTTCTCAGTAAAGTCCACTGCAACATCCTGAAAAGTCACTGAGTCCTGAAATACAACACACATTTGGGGTCAGTGAGAAACCAACCTATGCTCAAAGATGGCAGGAGCCAAAGACTGGGTGTGAGACTTGAAACACAGGATTTTCAGTACAGAGTTGTGGTGTATCTCAGTATTTACTCTAGAAGCCAGCCAGCAGTGGTCTTCTCTTTCCTATGAGGTAACCTCATCCCATCTCATTGTTTTAAATGCAATTTTGACATGAGACCAAAATCTTTCTCTCCGCTTTTAGCCTGCCTGAGCCCTTTGAACCATATTATAAGAGAAACATTTGGTATGTAAGTCGTTTTCCCTAACAACCCTGATACCAGGACAGCCTCACACACAGTCTTTGGCTCTTTCTCTTGATCCCTGATTGGCTCATTTAGCCTAAATAAAGATCTAAAAATTTTTATTACATGATATTGGGAGTGTTCTAGGAAGTGACTCTCCCACCTCAGGGCCCCAGAGATTTTGCTGTACCTGGGAACCAACATTAGTTGGCATATGAGGCTCCAGGCCATTACAAGCCAACAGGTCCACATCGTGGTGACAAGAATGGTCTTTTGAAGCAAGAGGAAATTCTGACTCCTGGATATGGGCAGGGTCCTGGCTGGATACACCTACAGAAGACAAGATTCATGAGAATTAAAGCTTGTCTGACACAAACCACTAAACTGTAAGTGTGCATGCACATTCCCAATCAACACACACACACATACACACACACACACACGCTAACAATCCACAGCAGCCATGCTCTACTCAAGGACAAGAAAAAGAGAGGTGGACCAACATACCATAAAGAAAGTGATATATACTCTCACCTTGTAAGTGAAGAAATTAAAGCTCTAAGAGGTAGAGCTTTTACTTTGCTTTGCTCAGATTTATCAAAGTAACAAAAGCAATAGTGCAAGATTACCCATAGCAGTGTTCTTCCTTTCCCACCAACTGCACACACTCCCTCCCTCACCCAAATTCACAAAGACCCTGAGTCAGTCACTTGGGAAGCCGCCCAGGACTTTGCTCCCACCGCTTTCTAGTTCATCCACCCTGCCGGCAGCCTTCCCCCATCCATGGTGAAGTGGCAGCGGTCACTTAAGTTTGATTTCTGAGGGTGTTCTTCACCCAAGAACTTACCACACGTGGGAGAGAAATCAACAGCCGCCATATCCTGTGAGAACAACAACGGGTTTGCCTGAACAACGGGGCACTGGCATCAGAAAGCTACTCTCTCGCTTTCATGGGACTCTTCAAGCAGGCCTCTGGGGTAAACGAGAAATGGATTACAAGATGTCAAGGCTTCCTTTTCCTGCTCACAGGACAATTCTGATTTCTGCTTTCCAGCATTTCCTCTCTTAAGCAGCAAGTTCTGTCTGATCCCACGTCTTTATCTTACTTAGGCAAAACCTCCAGGCAACGTGGTGGAGAACCTTGACTTGCTTCAAGTAAGATTCAGATTCATTCTCCCAAGTAATCTGTCACCAAGTATAACTGTTAAACTCCCTCACTTATTAAACACTTGGTCCCCAGACTTCTGTTCTTCAACTTCTATGTTTGCTATGGTTTTGGATGGTTCTAGTATCCATGAGGATGGGCCACCTAGAACTACATGTTCCAGCCTCCAATGCTGTTTGGCCCCATGCTCCACACCAACATACACAACTGTGGGCTAAGGCACAGGCCTTGCCATTCCTAGTTATCAACTTTACCTTGCAGACACTGATTTCGAAATATGCTCTCTGGACAGAACTCCTACACAACATTCTTCTTGCATGAACTTTCACTTTAGAGAAGATTCCAGGGAACTCATGCTTCTGCCATCCTGCTCCCTAACAGCAAACTCTTCTTCTCACTGTCCTACCTATCAAGCCGAGATTCACCACAGTCCATCACTTCTCCACTCCTTTAACCCCTCTGCCTATTACAACCCCAAATCAGCAACCATCTCTGTCTCTTCCCTGAAGGGAGATGGAAAGACCAGCAGGCATACAACCAGTAACCGTTGAATCTCAAAGCTGCTACCCCCAAAAGGAGTACCTACACTAAAGAAAAGCATACTAGACAATCCAATTTTCCAATCTCCCAATTACCAAGTAAAAATCTCAACATTTTTTTCTGAAAAAAGTACTGTCGTACAATTACCATTACTTTCAGCATATTTTTTATTCCTTTCACAGTAATCACGACCAGAAAAAAAAAAAAGTATCTCAGCAAAGAACTGGAAAACAAAAAACAATTCCATATATGAGAGCATAAAATATATAAATTACCTAGGAATAAATCAAAAGCTATGTAACACCTTGACAATAAAAACTTAAACACTGCTGAAAAAACTAAAAGATCTAAATAAGTGGGGAGGAATATTATTTTCATGGACTACAAGAGTCATTATTAAAGTATCCACGTTGCCCAAATTCATCTACAGATACAATACAGGCCCTAGCAAAATCGCAGCAGCCTTTTTTCAGAAATTGATAATCCAAATCTAAAATGTGTATCAAAATGCAAAAGGTATAGAAGAGCCAGACAATGTTAAGAAAGAAAAACTTCGGTAATTCATATTACAAACTTTACCACAGTAATGAAGAGTTACTGAAATAAGTATGGGTGGATAGGTCAATAGGACAGAATAGAATAAGAAACAGACTTACAAGTGCAGAGTCACATAATTTTCAATAACAGAACAAAGCAATTCAATAGGGAAAGCAGTCTTTTTAAAAAAATTATTTTAAAATTATAGTTGACGTTAATATTAGTTTCAGGGGTACAACATTGTGTTCAGACACATGTAACTTATGAAGTGATCTGTGTGATAAGTCTAGTACCCATCTGGCACGATACACAGTTATCACAATATTATTCACTTATAAAACAAAAAAGGACAGCAGTCTTTTTAATAAATGATGCTGAAAGACTCAATGGGAAAAAAGGAACTTTGACTTCGATTATCACTGCAAACACAAAAGTCTGAATTTAAAAAATCTGTTTGAGATGAATCAAACACCAGAAAATAAAATCCAGAGACTAAGACGACCTTGAATTATACAACATTTTAGACTAGGCACAAATAGAACTAGATGGAAAAAAAAAAAAAAATCAGTAAACTTTACCAAAATGAAAAATTTTTAATCATCAAATAAGATCATTAAGAAAATGAATAGGTTGGCATAAAAACAGACACATAGATCAAGGAAACAGAATTGAGGGCTCCGAAATAAGTCCACACATACATGGTCAATTAATTTACGACAAATGAGCCAAGATTAAACAACACAGAAAGGACAGTCTCTTCAATACATGGTGCTGGGAAAACTAGGCAGCCTCATGCAAAAGAATAAAACGGAACCACTATCTTACACTATACACAAAAATTAACTCAAAATAGACTAAACATTTGACAGTAAAAACTGAAATCGTAAAAGTGCTTGAAGAAAACAGGCAGTAAGCTCTTTGACAAAGGTCTTGGCAATGGTTTTTTTGAATTTGACAACAAAAGCAAAAATAAACAAGTGAGACTACATCAAACTAAAAAAGCTTCTGTACAGCAAAGGAAACCATCAACAAAATGAATAGGCAACCTACTATATGGGAGAAAATACTTGTAAATCATTGACAACAGGTTAATAACCAAATAATATATATGTTTTTAAAAAAACCCTCATACAACTCAATAGCAAAAAAACATACAATCCAATTAAAAATTGAGCAGAGGACCCAAAGAGACATTTTTCCAAAGACATACAAGTTGCCAGCAGGCACCTGAGAGATGCTCAACATCACTAGTCATCAGGGAAATGCTAATCAAAATCATGAGATACCACCTTACACCTAATAGAATGGCTATTATCAAGAAGACAAGAGATAACAAGTGTTGACCACGTCTGGGCACATGCCTGGGTTGCAGGTTTGATTCCTGGTCATAGGAAAGGCAACCAATCGATGTTTCTCTCTTACATCGATATTCCTTTCCCCCTCTTTCTCACTCCCTTCCCTTCTCTTTCAAATTAAATAATTAAAATTAAAACAATAAATTCCTACAAAGAAAACTCCAGATCCAAATACTTTTCCTGGTACAGCTCCCTTCATGGAACTAGTAGTCACTCTATTCTTAGGCAAAATAATCCAACATGTAGAAAAAAAGGAAGAGTGCCACCCCATTTTATAAGGCTGGCATAAATCTGAAAAGGAAAGGACAATTACAAGCCAATTTCACTCAAACATACATCCAAATCACCAAAGAAAACTTAGCTAATGGAGGCCAAAAAAGGTACAATACTAAGTATCCTTTCCAAGTAAGTTATTTTCCAATGCATATTTAATGCAACACTAGAAAACGCCGTTGGTATAATTCATTGCACTATCAGACAAGTTAAGAAAACCATATTATTCACTCACTGACTCCATACACAAACAGTAATAGCACCTTCCACAGGCCAGGAGGCCAGACTTCATTTAAGGTGCTTGAAATTCAACAAACATTTAAACTAGATACTTGGGGCAGGGGGAGGGGAGGGGCAGGATTGTAAAAAGCTATAACTGTTGATGAGAAAAGAGAAAAGCTCTTGAACTAGGAAAAGAAGGGCGTCTTCCTGACATAACAAATTCAATCTTTAAAAAGCCTCCAGCAAGAATTAAAGTTCATTCCCCTTAAAGTCTAAAACAGGACTGTCTCCTATCCAAATTCCATTCAGTACTACCAGAAGTCCCCAGCTATTTCAGCAAAGAATTTTTTTTAAAGTGTAATAAAAAATATTTATAAATACTTACTTATTCATCTTTACAGATAAAATTGTCCGTAAAACCCATCTAAAAACACTACACAAAAATTAAGAGACTAAAATACTTTAGCAACTTTGCAGAATTCAAATTCAATATACAAAGCTGTTGGACAAAAAACATAATTTCAAAGCACGCACGACACAGTCTCTCTCTCTCCCTCCCCCCTTCCCCCCCCCAGGAATAAATCTAACCAAAAGACCCCAGCAACCCTTCAATTCTTTCTTGGTTGGTATTCATAAAACCTTACTAAAAGACAAAGAAGATGTAAATAGATAAAATCTGATTAATTGTAAGATTCAATGGCATAATAATGTCACTATTTTCAAAATTAATATTCAGCACAACCTGAAAACAAAACCCCTGTAGGTGGAACTTTGTAAACTGACTCTTAAAATGTAAGCCACAAGGTACCTAAGAACGAATTGGTAGGTGTATGAACTTCATCTACAAGATATTTAGAAATTGCTAAATTACAATGTGTAGTTGCATCAATATGGAAAATAGGATGTGACCGAAAATACTTAAGAGCATGAGTCCATTCACAAATAATTACTAAAATACAGAAATATATTTGTGAGAAAACATATAAATAGTAAAATCCACAGAGAAAATCTTGAGGGAAGAGGAAAATGCAATTTAGGAGCACAAAGGTTTCTGAGGTTTTATAATCATTTCTTGGCCTGATTTGTGGATTTGCTTTACTGTTGTCCTTTTAATTGTGTTCACATGTTTTCACACTTTTTTTTTTGCACATACGTGCTATAGTAGAAGGATAAATAAAAAGAACCGAGTAAGATGGTAAAAATCAATGCAAAATGTTAGTAATCACAATAACCATTAATGGACCAACTTTCAAGTTAAGTAACAATGTTGAAGTGAATTTTTAAATCTAGTTATAGGCTATTTATGGTACATAAGAGTCAAATAAACTTAGTAACATAAAAATAGACAAGTGTACCAAAAAGTTTAAGTATAAAAGACATTCAAGATAAATGCTGCCAAAAGAAAATCAGTGTGCCTAGTTTTCTAGTATTAGACAAAACTGACCTCAAAAGGAAATTGACAACCAAAGCAAAAGGAAAGTAATTTATCCTCGCAGTCTCCAATTCCTAAGCCACCATAACGTCCTAAACTTATTCGGCCGCGCTTTCCCTTCTCCACCCTACAGCGTCTGTTTTGTTGTTTTGTTTTGTTTTTTGACCAGATCACCAGTGCCTGCCCCTGGTCGCTAAATACGGTCCTAAATTTCAGTCCTCGTTTCACCAGCGTTTTATATCGCTAATCATAAGATCTAAAACACACTCCTCGTCCGGCTCCCTGGCTTCCCTGTCCCAGGTCCCGGCCCTCGCACCCCCTTCCCCCAACTCCTCCTTGCCTTGAGGGCCTCTCGTGTTCTCTGGAAGACCGGCGGTAAAGGGTTAAACGAGGAAAGCGGGGCTTACCGGACTGAGCAGGGGTAGCGGAGGTCGTGGAAGCTGCCGTCAAAGGATCGACAAGTTCAAAGGGACGGTCGGATCTGGTAGGGTGACGCGGAATGTCACTAACAGCTGGGAGAAAACCATAGAGGAGCTCTCCACGGCCCATGTATGGAGAACCGATCCCCTCCGGAGGATAATGGCTTCCGCTCCACTTCCGCCTTCTAAATCACGCGGGACTTCATTGGCTGCTCTAACCCGGAAACATTGAGCGGAAAGCATTCTGGAAAATGTAGTTCTAGAGCTTAGGGGGCGTGGCCGCGGTTCCCAGGTGGATTCTGCTGACATAATAAATGCTATTCTGATGACATAATAAATAAACACATTTCCCCAACTTCTGATTGTTTGAGAGTCTCAGGACTCAGTTCTCAGGCTTCTTATAATCATTCTCAGTCGTCTTATAATCATGTTGTTGTAACGAAGTTCACCTCTTAAAGAACCGTTTCAACATTCACGATTCAAATGTCCACCCGCAGCCCCACACCTCTAACCTAAATTCCAGACGGAATGAGACATTCTCACTTGGGTATTTTATAGGCACTTTAAAATGCCACATTTTAAGCCCCAGACTCCACCTTCTCAAACTCAAATAATAGGAAACTTACCTTTCCTCCTATAAACCTTGGCAACATCCTCGACCCTTATGTTTGTCCCATTGATCCATCAGGGATTGTTTAGTTCTACTTGACGGGCAACCCAGAACCTGATCTCTTTGCCAGAATTGTTTTCCGTGACCCTGTGTCGACTCAAAAGCCGTCATGGCCAGACTTGGAAAAGTCGGGGTAAGCATTTTGTGGTCCTCTTTTATAATACTTGAGTCAGACATTTAGCAGGCACAACTTCCAGATGAGGGTGTTTATCTGGGTGGCATGAGACCTCAGGAAGCAACTAAGTTCGGCTCCTAGAACAAGTTCTAACCCTAACTCCACCAAGGCCGCCAGCTCAAGTAAATAGCCTACAGTCTGTTTCTCCTGTATTAAAAAAGCCATCCTAAAGTTTTTGCAAGACTCAAATGGGGAACACAAGTAACTTTAATTACTGCTCTTCAGGGACAAGGAGTTGGCAGAGTCCTGGCAATGGTAGCTCAGTCGGTTAGAGCATCACCTGATATGCCAAGGTTGTGGGTTCGATATGTGGTCAGGGCATATACAAGGAATAACCAATGAATGAATAAGTAAGTGGAACAACAAATGGATGTTTCCATCTCTCCCCACCCCCAGAAATCAATAAATGAAAAAAAAAATTTAAATGTTGGCAGAACAAGCCCATGTAGAAAGGTGAGCAAAGAGGTGAGCAAAGATGGAAAGATCTGGGGCAGGAGGTGGCTCAGGGTTAGGTGAGGAAAACTCCAGAAGAGATTAGGAATTGGACCTTCAAGATTTGGAGCCAAGATGGAGGATGAAGAAAGGAATATGATTCACTGGGATTCAAGCAGGACCTGGAGAAATTGGATTGATAAAATGAGTGAACAAGATTGGCTCAGGGTCAGAGCTTGTCTTATCAATGTTAAATCCCATTGAACTAACAAGAAGGATTAATTGATGGAATGAACAAAGGGGAAAAATATCACTCACATAACCCTTCAAGTTAAGAGTAGGATAATTATGCAGTTCTCCTCAAACAGTAAAAGGTATTACTAAGGTAAACAATACCCCAGAAGGTTGGAAAAACCTCATGCTCATCCTATTTCTATATAAATATATAATTATTGTAAAGAGATAAAATATTGATCAGTTAAATACTGGTGAATATCCCAGAGAAGATATTAATCGATGTTACATCTGATAAGGAGTTAATATTTAAAATTTATAAAGAACTCATACAACTTAACAACAAAACAGCAAACAATCCAATTAAAAATGGGCAGAGGACCTGAATAGACATTTCTCCAAAGAGGACACAGAGATGGCCAATAGACATAATGGAAAGATGCCTAACTTCACTAATCATCAAAGAAATGTAAATCAGAATCACAATGAGATCTCACTGCATACCTGTCAGAATGGTTATCACCAGCAAAGCAACAAACAAGTGTTGTCAAGGATGTGGAGAAAGGGGATCGATCCCTTGTCTACTATTAGTGGGACTGCAAATTGATGCAGCCACTGTGAAAGACAGTATGGATGGTTCTCAGAAAATTAAAAATAGACCTACCTTAACGACTCAGTAACTCCACTTCTGAGTATTTATCCAAACAAATTCAAGACACTAATTCAAAAAGATATATACACCCCTATGTTCAATGCAGCATTATTTACAAAAGCACAGATATGGAAACAACCTAAGTGCCTATCAATAGATAATTGGATAAAGAAAATGTGATACATGTTATATAGTATGACCATCAAAAAGAATGAAATCCATTTGTGACAACATGATTGGACCTAGAGTGTACTATGCTAAGTGAGATGTCAGAGACAGTAAGACAAATACCATATGGTTTCACTTACGTGTGGAGTCTAAAGAACAAAATGAATGAATAACAGAAACAGACTGATGGATAGAGAATAAACTAATAGTTGTGAAAAGGGAGTGGGTAGTGGGGCTGGGTGAAAAAGGTGGATTAAGAAGCTCAAACTGGTAGTTGCAAAATAGCCACATGGATGTAAAATACAGTACGTGGAATATAGGCAATTATATAGTAATAACTATGTATGGTGCCAGGTGGGTACTAGAATTATTGGGGGATCACTTCATAAATTATATAAATGTCTAACCACTGCATACCTGATACTAACATAAAATAATATGGAATTCAACTGTAATTTTAAAATAAAAAGCATTTGTTTAATGATAACATACAGAAAGTCAACACATAAAATCTTAAAGTGAACACACCTATGCACACATCATAAAAAGGGCACATACTTGTGAAAAGTTGGCATCAGTGGAGCCGTTTTAAAATGGAACCACCAAAGTATTTGCTCCATCATGTCACGTTGTCAGTAAGTTAGCATTTATTTTTTCATGGTGAGAATATTTGAGATCTACTCTCCTACCAACATTCTTGTATTTACAAGATATTCTGTTATTGGCTATAGTCACCACGCTACACATTACATCCTCAACGTTGTTCATTTCATTACTGTAAGTTTGTGCTTTTTTTTTTTTCAATGAAGCTCACTCTTCCACCTCATTTTTGTGCTATTTTTTTTTTTTTTATTTTGTCAAAGGCAAACAACAAAAACCAAGCAAATAAGGAGATTGGTTTTATTCAGGCTATTGCAGTAGGGAAAACAACCCAGACCTGAAGATCAGAATGTCTCTGCAGGGTGGTTTTGCTTTAGACTTTTATAGGGAGAAATAGGCAAGTTGTTGGTGGGGGGATTATACATTTGGAATTGTTACTATAACTAGGGGAGTCTGTTAGCACAACAAGAAATATTTATCTCTATGTCTTGCTGGTTTGTCAGGGAAGGAGACAAACAGTTTACCCATTCAATTATGAGACAAGAATAGGAATTTGGAGGGGGTGTGTCTGGCCTTGTCACGGGTAAAAAAGCTGGTCATCAGTGAGTCTTATCCACGTCGAATGGAGCAGGGAGGTTCTTTGCAGTTGTCGGTCATTTCTAGACGTGGTTGTCCAGCAGCACAGGTGAGTTCAATATTGTTACTCTGCTTTATTTGAACCAGAGACATGAATGCCTAGTTTACTCTAAGATACCTTATCCATCTGCAAATAAAACATTTTACTTCAGCCCTGGCCATGTAGCTCAGTCAGTTGGAGCACCAGGGTTGCTGCTTAGATCCCCGGTCATGGCACATGTAAGAACCAACCAGTGAGCGCATTATAAGTGAAACAACAAATCCGAGTCTCTCTCTCTCTCTCTCTCTCTCTCTCTCTCAATAACTTAAAAAATTTCATTTTATTTTATTTTATTAGTTTTTGAGCAGCGGTTCTCACTGGGGAACATTTGGCAATGCTGGGAGATAATTTGGGGCGGGGGGCAGGGGGTGTCACAACTGGGTTTTGTTGGGTGCTCCTGGCATCTAATGGTGAAACCCGGAAATGCAGCCAAACACCTCAAATGCACAGGACAGCCTTCCACCGTCAAACGTTAACTGGCCCCAAAGGCAGGGGCAGCAGGGGAGGCAGGGGACGATAAGTTCGCTGCCCACCTCCCCTTTGTGAAAGAACCAGAGCTTCGGAGTCTGGGCAAAAACATCTTAAAACTTAAATGCTTTCTGATGTGCATAAAAGAAAAAGGCACTCAAAGGATTTTTAAATGCACCTTGATTTTCCCCTTGGTATTATTGTTCATTATTCATTTGTTCATTACCTATTATTTGAAACACAGCAGCTTAACTTGCAGAATTTTTACATAAAGTTTGTCAAATTTTAATTGTAAAAATTCAGAGAAAGAAAAACTTCAAATGTTAGTTGAGAACCAGGGAAAGGCAGGAAACAAACTTTTTCCATAATGGCCATATAATAAACATTTCAGGCTACGTAGGTCTAAAGAGAAGCTCACTCCCCCCCACCCCCGCCTCCTCCCATGCCGCCTTTAGTTTCACACTACACTTAATACTTCACTACTGATAGTCCGGTCACAAACTTCCCCCACACTAAACCACTATTAGGTTCTCTGGGTGCCCTGCAGGTTAACTCAGTCTGACACTACTTATCCAGAGACAGCATCTGATCCGACAGGTTATGGGCTTAGTCCTGCAAGACTGCACTCCCTCCACTGTGCCACCCCGACTTCAAATGCCAATGGCAAGTCCAGGTTGTCACCTGTGTGTCTGACAGCTAAAAATTGGGTGTTCCCTTGACCCCCTCCTTGGCTTAATTAATTTGCTAGAGCAGCTCACCAAACTCAGGAAAAGAGGTTACTTACTAGATTACTTTATTACAAAAGGTATTAAGGGTGTGGTCCGTAAGGGTCCTGAGCACAGGAGCTTATGTTCTGTGGAGATTGGGGTGCATCACCCTCCAGACATATACAGGTGTTTTCTTTGAAATAAATCACTGCCTGGAGACTAGGAGAGGAGAGGGCTCCAGAGAGGTGAGCTAGATATTCATTCGGCAGGCTTTTCCCCTGAAGCCATCTAGAAGAGGCAGTGGAACAACTAATATGAGCTTTTGGTGTCTGCAGGCTCAGGAGTAAAGGGTGAGAGTCAGGGGCCCCTCGGTTTGGGCTGGTACCCCCGAGGGATGTCAGTTAGGAACAGAGGAGAACTAACTGGAAGCAACCCCATGACTGGACAGACTGCAGCCAGGTTTCCTGTCCCCTGGAAGGCCCGTAAGAAGCTCCTGTACCTCCAGCACGTTACTATCAGACAAAGTACACTTTAATGCAAAAGCACAGCCAGAGACAACAAAGGTAGCTTCATAAACACGAAAGATTCAAGGCACCACAGACATAACAATCCTGAATATTTATACTTAATAGTCCACTGATGGAACTGCAAGCAGAAACAGACAAACTCAGTACCACTGTGGGTGATTTTAATATATGTCACTCCATGACTGATACAACAAGGAGACAAAAAAAAAATCAGTCAAAATAAATAATATTTAAACATGATTTAATAACTTGGCTTATTGAACATATGTAGAAAATGCACTCAATTTACAGAGTTACACGTTCATCAAAATACACATTTCTCTTTCAGCACAAACAGACTATGTACTAAGTTTGACCCCAAGTGCTACAAAAGGCAATAAGTTTCAAAGAAATAAAATTATAGAAGATATACACAATGCAATACGTTAGAAATCAGTAACAAAAGCATAAAGAGATCCTCCATATATCTGAACATTAAAAAGGCACTTCTATGCACTGACCAGTGCAGCTCAGTTGGTTGGTTGTTGTCCCACAAAGCAGAAGGTGGCCGGTTCAAGTTTGATTCCCAGTCAGGACACATGCCTGGGTTATGAGTTTGGTCCCAGGACAGGGCACATACAAGAGGCAACCAATCAATGTTTCTCTCTCTCTCTCTCTTTCTCCCCCCCTTCCCCTCTCTCTAAAAATAAATCATAAAATGAAATCTTTTAAAAAATAAAAAATAAAAATGCACTTCTATATAACTCATGAATTAAATAAAAATACCCAAATAAAAAATCCCAATTGACTTTATTCAAATATAGTTCTCTGAATAGATTCCAGCAAAAGGAGAACAAAATAAAGAGAAAGATGAAGATGACTCAAAGGGGAGGGTGAAATGAGAATTGATTTAATCAACATGTTAATGTGCAGGCAAATGAGTGTTTGCTACAAGTTTACTAACACATGGATTGTACATCTGATAATTATTATTTTCCCCAAGCTTCATTGAAATATAATAGGCTTTTTAACACCTGGTAATTACTTATTGAATTTTACTAGTGCTTAAGAGCCATAAATATTAAATTATCTCATGTTACCAACATGATATATTCCCAGTATCACTATGAAGTGTGTAATTAATATTCTTTTGCCCATTTTGTAGATGGTGAACTGAATTCAGAGTTCAGTTAGTTGATAAATGACAAGCAGTAAAACACAGAACAGCAGGATTTAATACAAAGCTATTTGACTAGAAAGCTCATGATTAACCACTTTGCTAGAATTGAAATATGAACAGTCATGATTTCTGGCATATACAGTATTTCATTCCCTTTGACTCATTCTAGAAGCTCACACCCAAGAGAGCTGACAAAATCATGAAAAAAAACATGTTCTACAGATAAGTTTCCTTAAAGCTCCCCTCACATCCCTGTTCCTCAGGCTATAGATGAAGGGGTTTATCATGGGAGTGACCACTGTGTACATCACCGAGGCCACGGCCCTATTCCTGGAGGAGAGAGAGGCTGCAGAACTAAGGTAGACCCCCACACAAGTCCCGTAGAACAAGGAAACCACCAGCAGGTGAGATCCACAGGTGGAAAAAGCTTTATACTTGCCACTAGCTGATGGGATTCTCAAGATGGAAGAGACAATTTGAGTGTAAGAGAAAATTATCCCTGAGAGGGGACCCCCTCCCAAAAAGATGGTCACCAAATACACCAGGATGTCATTGACGAGGGTATCAGAACAGGCAAGCTTGAGGATCTGAGCGAGTTCACAGAAGAAGTGGGGGATTTTCAAGTCTATGCAGAAGGACAGAGACAACACCATCAAGCTGTGCAGCAAGGCGTTCATAATGCTAACAAACAAGGAGAGGAGAACCAGCAGGCCGCAGAGGCGTGGGTTCATGATGACCCCATAGTGCAGAGGGTGGCAGATGGCCACATAGCGGTCATAAGCCATCATGGTCAGGAGTAAATTGTCCATACACATAAAAGCCATGAAGAAATATGCCTGAGTGAGGCAGCCTGCATAGGTGATGGCTTTGCTTTCTGTCTGGATGTTCACCAGCATCTTGGGGACTATAGTGGAGGTGAAAGAGATATCGACAAAGGACAGGTTGGAGAGGAAGAAGTACATGGGTGTGTGGAGGTGGGAGTCTGAGCTGACGGCCAGGATGATGAGCAGGTTCCCAAGCACAGTGACCAGGTACATGGACAGGAACAATCCAAAGAGAAGGGGTTGCAGTTCTGGGTCCTCTGAGAGACCCAGGAGGAGGAATTCTGCTACCCCTGTTTGGTTTTCTGATTCCATGTTATTGGTGAGTCTGCTGGAAAATAGAGACATGAATTACAATGAAACAGACATCACTTGTTTGACACACTCTTTTAGCTATGCCTTCAATTCTAGTGATAATTAAAGATTTTATTTTTTCATTTTTAGAGAGAGTGGGAGGAAGGGAGAAAGAGATGGAGAGAAGTATCAATGAGAGAACCATTGATTGGTTGCCTTACGCTCCCCTGTATCGGAACCAGCCCTCATCCCAGGCACGTGCCCTGATCGTGAATCGAACCAGTGACTTTTTGCTTTGCAGGACAATGCCCAACCAACTGAGCTACACTAGTCAGGACTTTAGTAATATTTAAACAATTCTTTCCTTCAGGTTTCTCTACTCATTCCTTCCTTCACCAAGTATCTGTATGTATCATATATTTTTCTAATGCCATAATTAAAAATGAAAACACATGTTGTTTTATTTTTTTAAGGAACCATCATGCCCTTATGCCATTTTAAAATCTATGATTAAATTTTAGCAGTTTCTTCATACAGCATGAAACCTGGTTAGATGGCTTCATTCTCTCAGAGACTCCTAACTCTGTAGTTAACTATAAACTGAGTCTGCCCATTAATCGTAGTCTCAGGGATTGCTGGAAATATCACACATTCTCTACTGCCTCAATGTGAGAAATAACATCATTAATTCATTCCTTTAAATATTCTGTATTTTAAAATTAGGTCAAACCACTTTATGAAAACCCACCTATATCAAGGGAATTGTTTTTGCTGGGTGATGATTTGTCATTTGTCAGAGCTTCTGATAAAGGACATTATAAGAAAAGGTCAAATGAGTCTCTCTACTGTGTCTATTATAGAAATGTCGCACCCATAGAGGAAATTCCTTTCTGTCCCTGTAAATAAGAATAATTGCTGCTTCCTCTGAACAACTGGTTTGTTTCCTCTTATTTCTTTCTCTCCTTTGGCTGCTGGGGAGCATATAGCTAGATATGTGGGCCATGTCTGAAACTCAGAGTCACTTTATAATACGTATATTACTTTTGACTAATTTTTCCTTGGCAGCCACCTCCTGGGTTATGCCTATATGGCAATGGTTGTGTACTTATCCTCCACCGTCCCAGGGCTCTTGAGTGCATTCAAACCGGTGCATCTTTGAAAAGAAATCTCCCCAAAGGTGTCAGTGCAGGTCCAGCATGTCCCTATGGATCCTTTCAGGGGCATGCCACCCGATAGACCCCCGAGTCCTCGCTCTAGCATTCAAGTTCCTCCAACACCCGGCCCCTGTAATAATCACACACAGCGTGATGTACTTTTAGCAATCGCCGCCTCATAAAACCAGCACTCCCCATCACGGCTGAGTCCAGAAATTTCCAGGAGTGAATAAGTCTAAGAGCTGGTATGCAAATACCAGCACAAAACATTATTGATGAAAATAGGCCATTTCCTGCTCTAATCAAAACTGAACTATTCATTTCAGGATGTGTGCTTTACACATATGCTTTTTTTCTTTAAAAAAATTTTTGGGGGGGTAGGGGAACACATTCTTAACAGAAGTGAAGGCGAGCAGGAGGGTGGAAGGCATGGAGTCTTGAGAAAGCAAAGGAGATGGGTGAGCACTTTTTCCTGAGCACTTTTTCCCTCTGCCCTCATATGGGGTGGACTGGGAGCGAAGTGTTCAACTAGCCAAGGCCTCACTCAGGTCACTTCACAGGATCACAACTCAGTTGGTGGTTTATGAGGAAGGAAAGACATAGTCTATGATGAGAGAGAAAAGAAGCTGAGCAATGTTCAAAGGACATTTGTGTCCTTCAAATAAATAAGATGCTTTGTGCATTAAACAAGAAAAGGTCTCAATACTAGGGACATAGTGGATACATAAGAAATATCACTATAATTAAGCTATAACTATTGCCATTATTATTAATAATAATCTAATTTTTAACAAATAAAATTTATTTAATAAGATAGTTATTTTATTAATAATTAGTTATTTTATTATTAATAATAATTAGTTGTTATAGTAGTCTGTATGGAAAATGTTGAGCTTGGTTTAGAATGTTTCTTTTCCTTTCGGTTTGCTGATACATGGGCTGTTACCTGTTTCAACAGCAGTCCCTACTCTGGAAACATGAGTGAAGGTTATATATTTGGAAAATTTTTAAATACAAGAAAGAGATTTCATAATTTTTCTGTGTTATAATGTTAAAGGGTTCCTCAAAAAATTAATCATTGAATTACCATAAGATCCAGCAATTCCACGTCTGGGTATATATCCAAAAGGAGAGAAAGCAGGGTCTCAAATAGGTGTTTATACGCACATGTTTGCTGCAGCATTCTTCACAAAAGCTGAATGATGGAAGCAACCAAATGCATACTGACAGATGAACAGGTAAGCAAAGCATGCAACACACCTACAACGGAATAGTACATATTATTCAGCCTTAAAAAGAAAGGTCATTCTGACACATGCTACAACACGGATGAACCTCAAAAACACTATGCTAAATGAAACAACCCAGTTACAAAAAGACAGATACTTATGATTCCACTGATGTGAGAGACTTAGAGTAGTCAAATCCCCAGAGGCAGGAGGCAGAACGGTGGTGGCCGGGGCTGGGGCAGCAAATGGGGACTTAGGGCCCCAGTTTTGCAAGATGAAATGCTTTCTGGAGGTGGGCGGTGGTGACGGCTGCCCAACAATGGGAAGGTGCTTAGTGCCACTGAACTGTCACCTCAAAATGGTTAAAATGGTAAATTTTATGTTATGCATGTTTTTCTGTAATTAAAAAAGTACACTAATTAATAAAAATGTCAAATGAACTCTTTCTGGTTTGCTTTAGTCATGCTCCTGTCCCTCGCGGTGCTGAGAAATCAGCCACCCCTCACACTTCGTGGATATTCTTAGCGACACGGCCCCATCCTCACTTAAAAAAAAAAATGTTTTCCCATTTCACGTATTTATTTCAATTAAACAACCTTCATTTTTTTTTTTATCCTCACTCAAGGACATGTTTCTTGATTTTAGAGAGACAGAAAGGGAGGGAGCAAGAGGAAAGAAACATCACTGTGAAAGAGAAACATTGATCAGTTGCCTTTTGTACCTCAACCCGGGACCAAACACGCAACCCAGGCAGGTGCCCTGACCAGGAACTGAACCCGTGACCTTTTGGTTTGGGGGACGACGCTGAATCATCTGAGCCACACCAGCCAGGGCCTTTCTCACTTCTGTCTCACCCTTCTCCCTCAGCCGGGGAGCCCTTCAGATTAGGGGCTCTTCAACATCATCTGTGGAGACTCAGATCTTACCTCGTTCTGTGCTTGGTAGGGTTATATCCGATCTCACTCCGTGAGTGCTGTCTCCTGGAGAATCAATGGCATAAACAAGGCTGAGATCCTCACCAACGCTGTCCCCTCATTCTGCTTCAGGGTCCTGGAAGGTAGATCCTTGGATCCTTCCAAGGAGGCTAGAAAGGGATTAGTGTGTGGGTGGGTCTCTGAGTGCGTTCCAATTGTTCTGTGGAGAGCTTTTGTTCCAGGAGCCGGAATGCCTGACCACATGACTCCAGGGTTTCTTACCTCATAGGAGACAGGAAAAATCACACCCGGAAAAGACACCCTTGAAGTGCAGTGAGTGTGGAAAAGCCTTCAAGAGGCGTGTCTCTCGCACAATACACAGAAGAACTTACACTGGGGAGAAGTTCTATGAGTGTAATCAATGAGGGAAATCTCTAGTGTGAGGTATAACCTTGCTGTGTGCAAGAGAGTACATACTGGAGAAAACCCCATGAATGCAAAGTGTGTGGGCATGCTTACAGTAAACTCTTACACCTCTGATGTCATGACAGAACCCGTGATGGATAAAACCCCTATTAACGCCCACTTAGAACAGTGTTCAGTGAACTCTCAGTCTTGAAGACACACAGGCAAATGTTAACTGAAGGGAAAATTGGATGTAAACAATGTGAGTAGCAGTCTGTAAACAGTCTGAGTAGCACATATGTGGGAGAAACCTCAATTATAGAAAGACTACAAGAAATTCTTTATGCACTCATCATACCTTGGAAGGTCTGTGACAGCTCAACAGTGAGGAGAAAAATTTGTAATATCTTTAAGACTTGTTACTTCAGAAAAATAAAAACCTAATATATTAAGCCACCATGTTTTCAGTGTGTTTGTTGGGGTGAGTGAGTGTGTGTGTGTGTGTGTGTGTGTGTGTGTGTGTGTTGGTGGTAAGAGGAAGATTTTCTTTTTTTTACTCTCAGCTAACTGTGATCACTAACCAATATAGCCCCCAGCAGTTAAGTTTTAAATAAATTATATATGGTATAAAATTTGAATAATTGGTATATAAGGATGTGTGTTTAATATTTACCTATGAGATAAATCTTTTATTTTTTATTTTTTTATTGTCTTTCAAGTACAGTTGTCTCCATTCCCCACCTACTCTCCCCCACCCCACCCACACCCATCTCCCACCCTCAACCTTCCCTCGTTGGCTTAGTCCGTGGTCTTTTATACATGCCCCTTGATGACCCTTCCCCTTCTTTCCCCTGTTATCCTCCTCCCTCCTTCCCCCTCTCCTCTAGTCACTGTAAGTTTGTTCTTTATTTCAATGTCTCTGGTTATATTTTGCTCCCTTGTTTGTTTTGTTGATTAGGCTCCACTTATAGGTGAGATCATATGGTATTTGTGTTTCACCACGTGGCTTATTTCACTTAGCATAATGCTCTCCAGTTCCATTGATGTTGTCACAAAAGCTAGGAGCTCCGTCTTTCTTTCTGCTGCATAATATTCCATTGTGTAAATATACCGTAGTTTTTTGATCCACTCATTTATAAGTGGGCACTTGGGTTGCTTCCAGCATTCGGCTATTATACATTGTGCTGCTATGAACATTGGGGTGCATAGGTTCTTTTGAATTGGTGTTTCAGGATTCTCAGGGAATAATCCCAGCAGTGGGTTTGCCGAGTCAAAATTCAGTTCCATTTTTAGTTTTTTGAGGAAATTCCATACTGTTT